ATTTTTATGCAAATGAGATACACAAAATTCAGGTAAGTAGTTATTTCTAAGTGGGGGGCAGTAAGGCAGTGAAATATTGGTGGATATAACATATTGTCTCAAAAGCCAATTGTTAAATTTTTAAGACTTTTGAGAGCCCATTGTTAAACCATTGGTAGCTTGAAATCAGCCACAGTGGGTGTATTTACACAATGGAAATTGGCAAATACTGAAACCAAGAGGCTGGTTGTTCAACATTTACTAGCATACTACCACTCAATGTAAGCTGTTGCTAGTGTTCTAGTTCTTGCTTTGGGTAGTAGGTTCTGTTCATTATTTTTTAAATGAATGAGGGTTATAGTTCTTAGTTTAGGTAGTAACATCTGTTCATTATATTATTTTAAAAGAACGAATGAACAAAAACAAAGAGCTTCATGAGTGGACCCAAGAAGTCAACATATCATGAACCAAGGTATATGATTGTTACAATTGTGTGCACCTATGGTAGGAGAAAAACAAAAAGAGCACTAAGTTCCCTCCATCTGGGGGATATCAAGTATCAAAAGAATCTCTGCTAATAAATGAGGTCAGTGTATACCTGGAAAATACAATCCCACTCTCTGAGAGCAACACACCAGCTTGCAGGAATGAGAGGATGGGCCCATCCAGTCCCATGGAGGTGAGTCTCCATGGCTCCCTCACCAAGCAAACCTCTCAGTGGTCAGACTCTAGGCCAGATAAAGTGCATGGTATGCCCCATTCAACAGTCACAGAAGGAGCTGGGCCATACTATCAGCACCCACCATGGGGTCCTGGTTCTTGAGCCAAACTGGGTCCAGCCTCTAAAGGTAGTTCAGGCAAGAGGGGCAGCTAACACCAGTAACTCACATTGTTTTCTGCCCCACCTTGGCATAAAGTCAAGGAGGTTGGCCAGGCCTGCTGCTGTTAGAATTGAAGGAACCTGAAGGGGAAGGAGTTAGGAATGGACTAAAGTTAGCAAGTCAGAGAAAGAAGCTGCACTGACTACCTAAACAACAGAAGGGAGGAAAGGCTAGAGGTGGGTGTAGAAACAAAGATGTGGGGTCAGAAATCAGAGAGCTGAGAGAGGAGAGTCTCATGCCAAGTCAGCCAGAATGAGAGTGGTCTTGGGAACTCTGGCTCTTGGGAGCCCTGGAGACAGACAGATGCTACATGTGACAGGTCACCTAGTCAGGGTGGCTCACTCAAAAGGAGTATCGGACAGGGTGGCCAACTAGTTGGTGGGGCCAGGTTCCCTTGATAACATATACCATGCAGAAAGCAGGTCTGAAGCTTGAGATCTGTGATACTGTTGCTTTCAAGCTGTGTGGCAGCCATTCCTTACCACCCCAGTCTGAAACAGCCTCCAGGCAGAGGGGCCTTAATTGGGCTAAATTACACGTAGAAAAGGATTAAGACTCACAAAGCCTAAGTAAGGGGCTCAGGTTCCTGAAAACAGCTGACATTGGCAGAGAAAAACTGTGGGAGGCAGCCCACCAGCCTGCCTATGCCAGTCCATCTGCAGAAGGATGGGGTGGTAGCATCATAGGGCATTGAGGCCCCTTGAGGGAACCCTTAGTAAGTCCCAAGTCACACTTGCTGCAGAGTTATGTTAGCATGGGCTTCCCCTGGTGGTCCCCCCACAGTTTAAGCTGTAGCTGAACTCCTTTCACACCAGCTGGTCACTAAGGAGGTGGGATGGATACATCAAACTACAGGTCCCAACTTTAATATGAACCTGGCATATGTGACCCTGATATTTTCAGGCAGGACTGTCAAACATGTTACCAGGACAGCCAGGAACCCACATGTGATGATTAATCCTATGAGTCAACTTGACTGGGCCACAGGGTGCCCAGACATTTGGTCAACCATTATTTGGGAGTGTCTGTGAGGGTATTTGGAGATGAGATTAACATTTGAATGAGTAGACTTGGTAAAGTGATTGCCTTTCCTAAGGGTGGCTTCATCCAATCAGTTGAGAACTTGAATAGAACATAAAGGCTGACCCTCCTGTGAATAACAGGGACCTCCTCTTGCCTAACTGCTTCGAGCTGGGACATAGGTCTTTTTCAGCCTTTTGACTTGAATGGAAATATCAGCTCTTCTTGGGTCTCAAGCCTGCCAGCTTTTAGTTTGGAACTGATACCACGGGCTCTCCTGGGTCTCCAGATTGCTCACTGCAGATCTTGAGACTTCTTCCATAATTACAAAAGTCAATTCCTTATAATAATCTCTTTCCATATATATCCTGTTGATTCTGTTTTTCTGTGGAACCCTGACTAGTACACTCCTACAATACATTTCCCATCTACATGGGGACAGTCTATTTTCTCTCTTTCCATACCTCTGCCCCTTTCCTGATGAAACCAGGCCCCAGAGATCTCTCAGACAGCTACTGAAAAGCTGGCATTTGGGATCTATGCACTCTCATTCTGGCCAGTCAGCCTCCCAGAAAGACTACACCAACCATCTCTACTCTCCTGTTCTTGGGCTTATAATGTTGCTGGAGAAAAATCACAAGAGCTGGCCATATCGTCAAGCTCTCCAGGCTCAGTGGGTGCTCCCAAAATTGATCAATGCCTTCAACACCTCCTCCAAACACTCTCCATTACCGCAAGGCTTACCCCTGCACGTGCATTGCCCTTCTCCACAGACCACCTGGCCTCAACTCACCTGAGAAAAATGTCGTTTGACAGGAGCTCCTGCAACGTCCCCCTCTTCCCAGTTCAAATTGTCTCTGCTTCGTCCATCCCCTTCTCTTTCCACCCGGAGAGAAAGGTATTTAAGACACTGATATAAAGGCAAAGTTATTGAAGGCAAAGTGTCCACACCAACTCAAATCAACACATATATAGGAGGTCCCAAAGGTGGGCATGGTCAGTTTGGGACAGCAATACCTCTTCAACTGGATTCTGTCCTCTGGCCTTTTCCCCATGAGATGATCTCAATGGACTGGACTTGACGCAGGCAGACCCCCACTAGGCACCCAAAAGGGAGGCCAGGGCCCAGATCAGTCTCTCCAGCAAGCCCCTCAGCCTGCACAAGACCATCTAGGCTTCTGAATGTGGCTCCACATTTTGCCCTGTTTTATTAGATATTTTCTCACACTTGTATATTTAATATTTCTCTCTCTTCTATATCCTTATCCTCAGTTTAAAATATGCTCGAAACATTTCCATTCTAAATTATCTGCCTCTCAACCCTGCTGTTTCCCTGGCTATTTCCTTAAGTGTCTCCTTTCCTTCCCAGACACCTTCCTGAAAGAAAAGCTGGCACTTGCTGCTTTCAGTTCAGATGGGCCATTCTCTCACACCAGATTTCTAGTTTCTGTGCCCACCCTACCCTCAGTCCCCGACTGACGTTGCTCTACTAGGATTGCTACAGACTCCAGGTCATCAAATCCAAGAGTTACTTTTCAATCTCTTTCTGATTGGCTGTTCGCCTGTGTTTTGGGGAACTAAAAGAAAGAATGCATGTCTACGTGGAGCATTTTCAGGGGAGCAGGATTATGGGAATTCTAATAATGGAAGATTTCTCCAAGGAGAAATCAACTCTTGGGCATAGAATCATGGCTAAGAAGTTCAACCTTACCTATCCACTTGCTAGCTGGATGCTAGGACTTGACCCAATTAAGGGAGTTGACGGTTTTTTGTTTTGTTTTGTTTTTATAGGCAGGTGTTATCAGTCCCATTATACCAAGAAGGAAATTGAGGCTAGGAAAATAACTTGTGGATTGCCACTAGTTACATAGTGGGTTAGGGTCAGAACTCCCTCCTTCACATAGTGATGATAATCGCTATGACCTAATAACTACTGTACATCAGGCATGTGCCAAGAGCTTTACAAGGCAGTACCTCATATAATGTCCCGAAGTACAAACTAGTCTATACAACTTACAACTCCACTTGAATGTCTAAGGGATACTTCAAAGGTGACATATCCAGAAATGAAATCAGGATCTTTTCCCCAAAACCTGTTCCACCTACAGCTTTTGCTATCTCAGTTGATGGTGACATCATCCTACTAATCGCTCAGTACAAAAAAAAATTGCATTCCTCCTTGACTCCTCTCTTTGACACCTCACATACAATTTCTCAGGAAACCCTATTGTCATTATTTTCAAAACAGATCCATAATCTTCCCACTTCTCAGAACTTCTATTGCTACCAGCCTGGTCCCAGCCACCATCATCTCTCATTTGGATTACCTAGTGGCCTCCCAGCAGGTCTCCCTGCTTTTCCCTTTCTCACCTTCCTCTCCCCAACTCCTCTCACTTCCCCAGACTATTCTCAAAGCAGCCGGAGAAATCCAGCTAAGTTCTCCTTCTCGCTCATTGCAGCCTCAAGCTCCTGGGCTCAAACAATCCTTCTGCCTCGGTCTCCCAAAGTGCTGGGATTACAGGGGTGAGCCACCACGCCCGGCCTTAAAATGCTTTTTTTTTTTTCTTTTTCTTTTTGTTGCATTTTAGGTTTGGGGTACATTTGAAGAACATGCAAGATAGTTGCATAGGTACACACGTGGCAGTGTGATTTGCTGCCTTCACCTATATCTGGCATTTCTCCCCATGCTATCTCTCCCCAACTCCCCACCTCCGCCGTCCCTCCCCTGTTTCCCCCCAACAGGCCCCAGTGTGTAGTGCTCCCCTCCCTGTGTCCATGTGTTCTCATTGTTCAACACCCGCCTCTGAGTGAGAACATGCGGTGTTTTTCTGTTCTTGTGTCAGGTTGCTGAGAATGATGGTTTCTAGGTTCATCCATGTCCCTACAAAGGACACGAACTGATCGTTTTTGAAGGCACTTTGATTTCCATGATCTCATTAAAGTCTAAAACACGAATTTCCACCTCCGCGCTGCTTTCTGGTTCCACCTGGCGGCAGCTGCACAAAGTGTTTCTCTTCTAACGCCGTCCCAAGTTTACCCGGAACTACGTAGCCCAGGTCTCTCTGAGTGCTCCTCGGGCCAAAAACTAAGAGCACAAATTCCGGAAGAAATTACCCACAGCGGGACCATTTTAGTGCTCCGGCAGTAACAACAGTAACCAATAAACAAAAAGGTCTAGTTCACGTGATGTATATTCAGCCTATCAAGCTCCTGATATTCCTGAAGCCCTCATTTCCGCTCTTGTCGCCTTCTTTCTCGACAAGATGGCCACGCCGGCGGTATCAGCAAGTGCTCCTCCTGCCACGCCAACTCCGACCCCGGCGGCGGCCCCAGTCTCGGCCCCAACCTCAGTCCCAGCCCCAGCCCCAACGCCAGCACCAGCTGCGGCTCCGCCTTCCGCTGGGACTCCAGCTTCATCCTCAGACCCTGCGGCAGCAGCGGCTACGACTGCGGCTCCTGGCCAGACCTCGGCCTCAGCGCAAGCTCCGGCGCAGACCCCAGCGCTCGCTCTGCCTGGTCCCGCTCTCCCAGGGCCCTTCCCCGGCGGCCGCGTGGTCAGGCTGCACCCAGTCATTTTGGCCTCCATTGTGGACAGCTACGAGCGACGCAACGAGGGTGCTGCCCGAGTTATCGGGACCCTGCTGGGTGAGTGGTCATAGAAAGTTAACATTCTTTACTTCCTCCCACTTCTCATTTATCTCACTTCCCTTGTCTCATTAATTCTTTCATGCTTGGCGTTCTTTCCTCCCATTCCCCAATGACGTCTTGATCTATTTTTCCGTCCCACCTTCTGCTGTGCCTTCTTAAGTGATTTGCACCTCTCTTCTCTCTCCTGCCGGATTGCTGTCACTTTGAGCGACATAAAATACACAAGTAGTAGTTGTGTCACTTACTGAATGTTTTATGCCAGTGGTTTACATTTTTTAATGTTCCCCACAGCAGTTTATGGCAAGTATGATGAGAGCCATCTGCCAAAAATGAGTGCACATGCCGAGTGGGAAGTCAGGAACCCTTGACTTCCTAAGTACAGTGACCATGTTTCTGCCTTATCCACCGACTAAATGTCATTGTTTTCCAGGTATTGGCAAAGAGTTTTCTAACCAATTGGCAAAGGAGTGGGGACATTTGTAAAAAGGCATTCCTCCCAACAAGTAAACCGGTTTGGCTGGAACCCATTTGGGATTTTATAGTATTCTGCTGTCCTGAACTTTTGATCCTGATTCTCTCAGTGTCCCTTAATATTAGTACCTAATGTGAGAAACCCTGTTCTCCCATTTTCCATTTGGACACAAACAATTGTATTATCTGTTTATATCTCTGCCCTTAACCTTCAGGTGGAAGAATAACCCATTTTCTGCTTGTGTTCCAAATTTGGGGAGTAGATACTCTACGTTAAAGTAGTTTGTAAAATGGAAAAGCACGAAAGAGGGATTGTTGATAATTCTTTTTTTGTACCATAAAACTGTTAGGTATTTAGAATTCAAAGTGTAATAAGGTGAGCTCTTCTGTAACCTTAAACTCTATAGAAATATACTCTTAAATGCAAATAACTAGAATGTAATATATTAAATGTTCTAATAGAAGGGTATCATGGTGGCATGGAACTACGGAAGACAACTATTTCAGAAGGTTAGGGAAAAGTTCCCCAAAAAGATGGTGTTTGAGCTGGGCATTAAAGCAACTACAGGAAGTTAAAAAGGGCCGGGCAAGTCCACTATCTGAAACATTCAGTATTACAGGAATGTAGGTGACAGAAGGTAGAGCAGGAAATGAAGCTAGCAGAGGGCAGAGCCCTAAGAAGTATTGAATAATTGCAAGTGTAAAGTGCTGTGAAGGAGAATTACCCGGGTCTCAGAGAAGACAAAATGGAAGGGTAACCTCATTTGAAGCTCTTTGGGGAGGATCCCGAGCATTTCAGCTAACACTGAATAGAAATTAGAAATCACTCAGACTTTGAGGCGGGTGGATTGCCTGAGCTCAGGAGTTCGAGACCAGCCTAGGCAACATGGTGAAACCCTGTCTCTACTAAAATACAAAAAAAGAAGAAGTCAGGCATGGCGGTGTCCACCTGTAGTCCCAGCTACTGGGGAGGCTGAAGAAGGAGAATTGCAAGAACTTGGGAGGGAGGTTGCAGTGAGCTGAGATTGCACCACTGCCCTCCAGCCTGGGCAACAGAGCAAGACTCCATCTCAAAAAAAAAAAGTCACTTTGGCTGCTTTGTAGAGTGTGGATAAGAGACAGGCGTGAGCTGGGCATGGGCACCAGATAGCAGCTATTCTAGTAATAAGGAAGCACTTGCAAAATAGGGATAGATAGGAAGTGAGTGAGTTGAAAGATAGGAAATACAGTTGATAGGACTTGATGTGATCAAAAGTGAGCAATTAGTAGAAAGTATCAAGCATGACTTCTATATCTTTAGTTAAATGTGGAGGAAGAAAGGGAAGGTAGAAGTTGACTTCAGTCTGGGATATATTTATTTTTAGATGCCCAATGAGCGTTCTGGTGGAGTTGTCAAGTAGAAAATTGAATATAAAGATCTGAAGTACAAAAGAGATGTAGGCAAGTATCAGTTTAGGAATTACGTCATTGGAATATAGAAGGTAATTAAACCCATAAAATTGGGTGAGATCACTTAAAGCAGGAATTGGCAAGCTTTCTATAAAGGGCCAGACAGTAAATATTTTAGGCCTTGTGTGCAGTCTCTTGCAACTACTTAATTCTGCCTTTGTAGCAAGAAAACAGCCTTTAAAAAAATTGGCATGTAAACTTTATTCCCAAAAAACATTTCTAGATCAGGGCCTGACCTAGAAGAGGAACATTGAGTAAAAAGATAGAAGAACAAAGACAAAACCCCAAAAACTTGAAAAGTCAGCAGAAGGAGTAGTCAACAAAGAACATTAGAAAGGTGGGAAGAAAACTGGAAGGAAAGTTTTAAGATAGAGGAAGTAAGTGGTCAAGTCTGTTCAATACTGATAAGAGGTCAAATAAGATAATGGATATATGTGCATTTGGTTTAGGAACATAGTTTCAGCAAAGGGAGCAGAAACCATAGTGAATTGGAATTAGACAAACACTGGTAGATACGGACAACATGGTGGTTTTTGGTGGAGAGGGAAACCCTTGAATCCTGGGGTGGGAGGTTCCAATAGATTAAAAGAGAATGGAAAAGCCAACTTAGTGGTGTTAGTGAGATCAAGAAACAAATGTGGTGGGAATAAAAGTAAAAACAAACCAAAAAAGAAACATAGGCTGGGCGCGGTGGCTCACGCCTGTAATCCCAGCACTTTGGGAGGCTGAGGCAGGCAAGTCACTTGAGGTCAACATAGTGAAACACCATCTCTTCTAAAAGTACAAAAATTAGCCAGGCATGGTGGCATGTGCCTGTAGTCCCAGCTACTCGGGAAGCTAAGGCAGGAGAACCGCTTGAACCCAGGGAACAGAAGTTGCAGTGAGCCAAGATCGTACCACTGCACTCCAGGCTGGGTGACAGAGCAAGACTCCATCTCAGAAAAAAAAGAAATGTAGTGAGGATAAAGGTATCGGAACTAGAAAAGTGTGTGGTAAAAGACTGACATACTCACATCTAAGGTTCGCAGATAGGTTTCTGGATGATGGTAAGGTTAAGGCTATGACCGTGGGACCAGATGGCTAAAGGAAGGTGCAGATGAAGCTCGCAGCATCTCAATATCTGAAACTTGGCCACTGTATCAGCAGTCTGTGTAGCCATTAAAATCTTCCAGGTAGCTCTGCAGATTAAATTACAGGGTCAAAGACTAGAGGCCGAAAAACAAAGGTCATAGAGTGAAGGTCTGAAATAAGCTAGTAGTGGAAAGTAACAGGCAAAAGGAGACCTTGTAAAGGAATAATAAACCCTGTTTGGTGATGTTTAGAGGGAGAAGTTGGCGAGCATGCCAGTTTTAGTTCCCTGGAGAATTCTGGTCCCATTGATGCACTTGGACTAAACTTGGAGCTAATGAGTTCAGTTAGGTGTTTATTGACATTGAAGAAAGCATCAAAAGCATTTCAAAAGTAGTTGGAGGTTGTTGGGAGCCCTAGCATTATATAACACGTGGACAATTCTCTCTTTCACAGGAACGGTCGACAAACACTCAGTGGAGGTCACCAATTGCTTTTCAGTGCCGCACAATGAGTCAGAAGATGAAGTGAGTGGGAATCCAAGCTGTCCCTCTGCTGTTTTTAGCTGTTCATTTGCTAGGTTCCCCTCATGGCCCCTCCTACACTATATATTGACTCATAACTAGAGCTCCTATAGCCAAGGAGCTTCCTATTTGTATGTTACTTCCTGGGCCTCTTCTGGTTATTGGGGGTGGCTTCTTGTCCCTTTTAACCAGTTTTTCTTTGGACTTCCGGCTTCTTAGCTTGCTTTCCTGCCATCTTAGGTGGCTGTTGACATGGAATTTGCTAAGAACATGTATGAACTACATAAAAAAGTTTCTCCAAATGAGCTCATCCTGGGCTGGTAAGTTGGAGAGGTGGGGGCTGGGGCAAATGGAAGGTCTCTCCGTGATTGTCAATGTCTTTTGCCACCAGACTGGATCTTATCCTCTTCCTTTTAGAGATAGAGTATTGCAAGTGTATTACTGGCTGCAAGCAGTGGCTCGGTGCCTGTAATCCCAGCTGGGAGGCTGAGGCAGGAGGATCACTTGAGCCCAGTAGTTAAAGATCAGCCTGAGCAAAGTAGTGAGACCCTGTCTCTAAAAAAAAACATTTTTTAAAAACTTAGCCAGGCATGGTGACACACACCTCTAGTCCTAGCTACTTAGGCGGCTGAGGCTAGAGGATCACTTGAGGCCAGGAATTTGAAGCTGCAGTGACCTATGATTATCCTGCTGCACTCCAGCCTAGTGACAGATTGAGACCCTGTCTCAAAAAAAAGAAAAGAAAAGAAAAGTGTTACCTGTAGGAGCTGTGAATTGAGTGGGTTTTGCTGGCAGTTCTGATCCTTTGGGGCCAGTATATATTGAATCACCTCATAAGAGACTTGAAATTTTTCAAAAGCACTCAGCATTTGATTTGATTTGACATAGTTTTCTATGTGTATATTGTTCTTGGCATTTGGTATCACTAGGTATCCCTACCACGGCAATATCAGGTACCCTAAAAACACCCTTGCCACTGTTGTGTTTTATATTGATGTCACATATAGACATGAGTCCACAACTGTGTTCCATGTTGCAGGTATGCTACAGGCCATGACATCACAGAGCACTCTGTGCTGATCCATGAGTACTACAGCCGGGAGGCCCCCAACCCCATCCACCTCACTGTGGACACAAGTCTCCAGAACGGCCGCATGAGCATCAAAGCCTATGTCAGGTGACCGCAGTCTTGGGCTGCAAGGGCATAAAACCATGCCTAGATGCCATCCCTCCCCCACCCCAAGCAAGGTTAATTCCTTCTGTGTGGAACTTGCTGTGTCCTTAAGAAGCCTGTTCCTCTCTCTCAACAGTTATTCAAAAAGTTTTACTCTGAGACAAAATCTGTTCCTATAATTTGTATCTGCTGATCCTACTTATACTCCGGTTTCTACTCATTGCTCTTAACCAGTTTCGAATGACAGCCCTTTTAAGTATTTGAGCAAGCAATCAAGTCATCTTCTATAGAACTCAACTATCCATAGTTCTTACAGCCAGTCATCACATGGTATTCTTGTCATAATCCTTCACCACATTCCTTACTTTTCTGAGCTACCCATTAGTTTATCATTATCTCTAGAACTCAGCACAGTACTCAGGATAATACCGATAAAGGATGACTGTCCTTATTTTGAACACATTTATTAACCCAGGATTGAGAGCAGTTTTAATAACAATAATATTGCAGTTAACACATTGAGCTTGCAGATGGTTAAAATGCCAGTAATGGGGGATGCTGGGAAAGACCCTGGTGGCATGCTGAAGAAGCAGCTGTGAGACTTGGAAAGACCGTGGTCAGAGGGAAGGCATCTGTTAGTGCATCTGTTAGGCTGTTGGCATTGTGCTGGTTCTGTGTCTGACGCTGATAGAGCCAGTTTACTCTTAGGTGGTAAGACAAAGATGGTGGATGCCAAGTCTTTATGAGCCAGTTGGCATACCAGTGAGCACTAGCCATTGCCTGACTTCTTAGCCTTTCAAAGGATTTCAGACGCCTCAAGATTGTGTGTGTGTATATATATATGGATCCAGTATATACAGTGTGTGCGTATTCCAACTATCTCCCGGGAGTTGGGGACTACCAGGTTGCCTAAGGAGGGGTGAACTGGCCTAGGTCAGAAATGGAGCAGGTCAAAACTCCTATGCTGATGAGTAGTGGGATCCCACCTGTGAATAGCCACTGCATTTCAGCCTGGGCAATGTAGCAAGACCCCATCTCAAAAAAAAAAAAAGATCCAACTATATATATCTGTATGTAGATAGACGCAGATATATATAGTTGACATACTAAAGTATAGATCCAGGTATGTGATTGACATAGTAAAGACAATACCTTTAGTGAGATTACTTAAAGCACCCAATCTAATTTGGTGGACAGGAGTTGGTTTCCTTTTTCAATGCTGATGAAGGGCTTAGTCCCAGAAAAGACTTGGCTCTGTCGTCTTTCCGTGGTGAGCAGGTATCTAGACGGCCAGCTCCACGGAGTAATTGAGTTCTGTCCTCTGATCACTGGTAATGCACAGTGTGTGAAGTAATCCTCTGAAGGGACCAGGCCAAGTCCAAAGGTTGAGTCCCCTCTTATAGGCCAAGGGTTTGGTATGTGGGACAAGCTAAAGGGAGAAAGTAAATTTTGCTCCTATGAGACCTCTGGGGTCACTTGGTCCCACCCTTCCTATCTCAGAACCTTGGGAGCCATTTTTCTGCTGTGTCTGCTTTCTCAGCCCAGAATAGACATGGAAACCCTCTCCCAAGGCCATCTGTTTACCTCGGCTTCTCCTTCCTCAGCACTTTAATGGGTGTCCCCGGGAGGACCATGGGAGTGATGTTCACACCTCTGACAGTGAAATATGCATACTATGACACTGAGCGAATTGGAGGTGAGTAAGCTTTCCATACACTCTTTAGACATCTTAGTAATGTTCAGGGAAGGGGGCTGCTGTTCTGTAACAAGGATGGAGGCCTTGGGTGGTTTTAAAACGGACTATTGATCTAAGCTCTATGAAGACTAGAAGTCATAGTCATCTCTTTTATAAATGGGATTTAAGGGATTATTTGAGACACTATTGAAGGTGGGAAATTACCAGTACCAGAGGCCACATGACCATTCACATGAGACCAAAACCATTGATGAACATACCAGGTGAAAGGAGTTGAGCTTTGTTAGGAGGAACAAAAGCTGATAAGGGCACTGCCGGGAGTGTGACTGAGTAGACTGAGTCTAGGGGGAGGTAGGAAGCAGACTTAGCAGGATGTTAGGACCATCTCTTTCCTAGTGGGATGACTGAATTCTCTCTGCCTCTAACTGCCCACCACTGCCACTGCCATCCTGCCAACCAACTTCCACAGTTGACCTGATCATGAAGACCTGCTTTAGCCCCAACCGAGTGATTGGACTCTCAAGTGACTTGCAGCAAGTTGGAGGGGCATCAGCTCGCATCCAGGATGCCCTGAGCACGGTGTTGCAATACGCAGAGGATGTACTGGTGAGAGGGGAAAGAAAAAACAAAGGGGAGGACATAGGTCTCCATGCTGGCATCACTGAGGCACGCGCCGATGGAACGGTAGTGCCCAGTGGTTATAATGAACTGCCTCATTGAGTCTTTGTTTTGATGATCAGTCTGGAAAGGTGTCAGCTGACAATACCGTGGGCCGATTCCTGATGAGCCTGGTTAACCAAGTACCCAAAATAGTTCCTGATGACTTTGAGACCATGCTCAACAGCAACATCAATGTGAGTGCCCTTCCCGAGCCCTTGCTTGCCTGGTTTCTTCCCCCACCTCAGCACGTACACTCAAATGTGAAGAGAGTTGGGTGAGGCATCCTGGAGTACGATAGAGACAGGGCTTCACTTATATAACCGCCATGAAGTCCAAGTTGGGAGGAAGGAAGAGCTGTGGTACACATGGTTGAAGATTTCCCTCCTTCTCCTCCCTTGATTCCATTGTCTCAGTTACTGCTGATGCTACTGTAACTTACTGTCTAAATTTGTGATGGAAAGAAAAACTAAAATTCAGAGGTTAATGAAAATGCAATTACTTATTTTCCTTGTTTGAGTTCACAGACCCGCTATAGTCCATCCATGGGTCTCAGCTAAGGCACCCCTAGTCTATAAGTGTATCAGCAGAGATAAGAAAGTCTTCTCAAGCATTTCCTTTCTGTCTTCTACCTTTTTGACTCTTACTCAGTCTCTCCTAGCTGTCATTTATTCATGACTGTCCATCATGGAGCTGGCCAAAGCCAGCCTTTGTGCTCCCTTTCCATTCAACCCCTCGCTCATTTTGTATTCTTTGTCTTCCAGGACCTGCTGATGGTGACCTACCTGGCCAACCTCACACAGTCACAGATTGCCCTCAATGAGAAACTTGTAAACCTGTGAATGGGCCCCGGGCAGTGTACCTGCTGGTCTGGGTCTCAACCCCAGGACGGGTTTTTTGTGGTCTTGAGTCACACTGAGACAGTCAACTGCCTGTGAGTCTAATAAACATAGCCTACCTTTTGTAAGTTAGTTTCATCTTACGTGAGTTTATTACTGGGAGAATAGAAGGGAGGAAAATGTTTTAGATCACACAGAAACCCGGAAGTGAATATTAGAGATGGAGAAGTTGGTTATATGTTTGGCATGTTAGTGCTTTACCAAACTGTTCTTTTGATTTTCAATATGGAAAGGTGTCCTTTGGCAAAACTGAATCTTTTCTTGAGGATTCCTGTGATTTCTACAGGAAATGAAAATAAGAATCCATGGAGAAAAAATACTTGAGAAAATTGGATGCTTAATCTGAACTAAAAGAGTAGAGTGTGTCGTCACTATCTTAAAATACATTAATAGTTAGATGGAGCTGTTTGCCACTTTGGTTCAGGGAGGCAGAATTAAGATCTGTGGGTTAAAGATGAAAGAGATTTCCCCAAAACTTCAGAAAATTCTTAAGTGCTGTCTGTAACTTGAGAGTACAGTGTTGGGTTATATTGAGGTCTGCTAGTGACTCAATTTAAACAAAGACTAGATGGCATTTCCCAGGGACCTTGTAGGCTAGAGTACTTGCCTGTGTAACTTCAGACATCCCTTTCATCTGGTATTCTGAAGTTCCACCTTGCCACTCTGTGTCTTAGAAAGAAATCATTATTCAGGGCCGGGCGCGGTGGCTCAAGCCTGTAATCCCAGCACTTTGGGAGGCCGAGGTGGGTGGATCACGAGGTCGAGAGATCGAGACCATCCTGGTCAACATGGTGAAACCCCGTCTCTACTAAAAACACAAAAAAGTAGCTGGGCATGGTGGCGCTTGCCTGTAATCCCAGCTACTCAGGAGGCTGAGGCAGAAGAATTGCCTGAACCCAGGAGGCGGAGGTTGCAGTGAGCCGAGATCGCGCCATTGCACTCCAGCCTGGGTAACAAGAGCGAAACTCCGTCTCAAAAAAAAAAAAGAAAGAAATCATTATTCAAGGACTAAGGAAATTACATACTGGAGTGCAAAGGTGAATGAAGGCAATGGGAAATCAAAAAGGCCTGAATCCTAGTTCTGAGTTATGTGTAGCCTTAGGAAAGATAAATTATAAGGGTTAAAAAATGTGCATCATTAACATAGCCCATTAGGGTATTAGGAGGATTCAGTTAATTAATAAATGTCAGGTTAGTCAACACTTGCAGAGAATAGTTCCTGGTATGTAGTAAGCACACATAGGTGGTAGATATTATGATGTCTGAAGCTGAATAGTTTGAAAGTAATAAGCAACATGAACCCCAGCCTGGAACTCAGTTCTGAGATAAATAACCTTAGGAAATACAAATTATGGGAATCATAAAGTATGGATAGTAATGATACTTTCTTATAGGTAGGGAAATGTAAACAGAGGTTATCTGCAAAATAATAATGACAGGCCAAATTGTGTGGTTAAAAGTAGAAAGCGGCCGGGCGTGGTGGCTCAAGCCTCTAATCCCAGCACTTTGGGAGGCCGAGGCGGGTGGATCACAAGGTCAAGAGATCGAGACCATCCTGGTCAACATGGTGAAACCCCGTCTCTACTAAAAATACAAAAAATTAGCTGGGCATGGTGGTGCGTGCCTGTAATCCCAGCTACTCAGGAGGCTGAGGCAGGAGAATTGCCTGAACCCAGGAGGCGGAGGTTGCAGTGAGCCGAGATCGTGCCATTGCACTCCAGCCTGGGTAACAAGAGCGAAACTCCGTCTCAAAAAAAAAAAAAAAAAAAAAAGTAGAAAGCATGGTGGGAAGGTTAATCAAAGTGTTTCAGTATTCTTATATTTTTGGGAGTAGCCAGTTAATATCAACTTAGTCTTTTTAAGTATACATGATAAAATTCCAAGGTTAGTTACTGGAAGTATATATAATCTCTAAATGAATAGTGATGAGAGATCATGGAATAATAGGGAAGAAACAAAATTTTAAATTTGAGAAATAAACATAGGAAAGGTGGATAAAACAAAACAAGATGCCAAACGAGTCCAAATACATCAGTAATTACAATAAATGTAAAAGTATTAAACTAGCCCAAGGGGGGAACATTGAATATTAAAACAAATCCCAATCATGCTATTTATAGGCGACACATCTAAAACAAGGACATGAAGTTACCCTGCAGCTATGAGTAACAATATAGGTGAATGTGAATAAAAGGGTTGAATGCAAAAAGCTGGTCTTGGAAGACATGATACTCCTGAAGTTCAAAAACAAGTGAAACTTGTTAGACATACAGTTGACCATCTGCATATGTGGGTTCCGCATCTATGGACTCGGCCAACTGCAGGTTGAAAATATTGAGAGGAGGCCAGGCGTGGTGGCTCATGCCTGTGATCCAAGCACTTTGGAGGCCAAGGTGGGTGGATCACCTGAGGTCTGGAGTTCACCACCAACCAGCCTGACCAACATGGTGAAACCCCGTCTTTAAAAAAAATAATTAAAAAAAATTAAAATATTGAGGGGAAAATTGTCTCTGGACTAAGCCTGTAGAGACATTTTTCTCTAAACAATACAACAAGTATTAGTGTTTACATTGTATTAGTTATAAGTAATCTAGAGATGACTTAGAAGTATGTGAGAAGGCATGCACAGGTTATATGCAAATGCTGTATATTAGGGACTTGGGCATCAGAGGATTTTGATTTCTGTGGGAGGTTCTGGAACCAAATCCTCCATGGATACTAAGAGGTGACTGTGTATATATATGTACAGTCTGTTCTCATTATCTGTAGTAGTTCTGTAAATTTACTATGAACACTGAATTCGAGAGTACTGAACCATTATTCCCAAGGGAAATACAGGGTGGGGTTCCTTGTTACATGTTTTTCTGTTTGAAGACAACTTGGTATACAAGGTTGACCCATGATTGTTACATGTTTTTCTGTTTGAAGACAACTTAGTATACACGGTTGACCCATGAACGTTGAACTTAGGCAACCTAACATTCCTGAATGAAGCTTACCTCAGTTTCTCCAGGAGGCACCTCACAGTCTTCTTGTTCTTGCAGTTAGGAACACTTGGTGCTGTGCTTGGGGGCCACTTTAAGCAACAAAGTCCACAAAAATGCAAAAGATGTACTAAATAGATTGAAAAGATACTTGTTTATGAGAGCTGAAACAAGAAGGCCTTGTTCCACCTCAGCTGGGAACGTGGATAACAGGGAATTCAGATTTTTCCACATGCTCCATGTCCACAAGTGACTGCAAAAGCCCAGCAAGTACTGATACTGGAGTTAGGAATAAATTTTAGTAAGAGGTAAACTCACAAATACGAAATCTGCAAAGAAATGAGAATTGACGGGTGTGTGTGTGTGTGTGTGTGTGTGTGTGTGAAAACCAAAAAGCAAAAATAACAAAATTCTCACTAATGTTTACTTTAGTCGTGAGAAGAGGCAGGCAAGTAAATAAATATCGTTACTGGCAATGATCTAGTTTGAGGTTGGGCAATAGCTTCATTATGGGTATTGATTATATTATAAAATTAACCCGACCTGAACTAATGACCATACTGTGGTGTTACCATTACTTAGCTTTGTTCTAGACCTAATAGCTATTGCATTTAAGCAAGAGAAAATAGATACAGATACTGAAAATAAAATGGGGCTGGGCATGGTGGTGGCTCACACTTTGGGAGGCCGAGACGGGTGAATCACTTGACGCCAGGAGTTCAGGACTAGCCTAGCCAACATGGTGAAACCCCATCTCTACTGAAAAAAAACAAAAATACAACAATTAGCCACCATGGTGGCACACACCTGTAGTCCCAACTACTTGGGAGCCTGAGGCTGGAGAATTGCTTAAACCCAGGATGTGGAGGATGCAGTGAGCCAAGATCACACTACTGCACTTCAGCCTGGGCGACAGAGCAAGACCCTGTCTCAAGAAAAAAGAAAGTGCAAAGGAGGAGGTTTTTTGTTTTAAATTAGTACTACTGCATTAATTTGGTTGAAGAAAACTTTAAAAATGCTAATGAGAAACGAGATGTAATCACTTAAAGGTGTATCATGTCGTGAATAAAAAGATTCATTTTAAAGGGTCAGTTTTCCCAGTTAAACTACGTATTTGTCATAATTAGAATAAAATACAAAGAGCTATTTTGGAACTGGGTAAGCCATTTCTAAATGTATAGGGAAAAATAAAAATGTCTCCAAAAAGTCCCTGCAGAGAGAAACTAGCCCTTCCAGATAGTAAAATATAAAACTATGTAATTAAAGCAGTGTGGTTCATAAAGAACATAAAACCAAACAGTTTAGTAGATTCAAAACGCAAGTGTTGAGGATATAGAGAAAAGGGAACCCTTATACACTTGGTGTGAATGTAAGTTAGTACAGACATTGTAGAAAACAGTATAGCATTTCCTCAATAACAATAGAACTATCATGATCCAGCAATCCCACTTCTGGGCATATATCCAAAGGAAATGAAATCAGTATGTTGAAGAGATACTTCCACATTCACTGCAGCATCATTCACAGTAACCAAGACATCAACCACAGTGTCCATCAACAGAAGAAGTACTTGTTATTTATATTTTCTGGAAACACATAATATTTCATGAAAAATTAGAGAATCGACCTTTCCCTTGGGAAGATGTACATACTAACATCGTGCCTAGAAAATAGGCCTCCACATGGGTTTTCATTTGTATGTGAAATGGCTCAGAAATGAACAAGAACTGGAATTCACCCAATTCATCTGTTTCCAGAGTGCCCCGTGCTCTATCACGGGGCTGCCCCCATGTCTCAACCCCTTCACTTCACAGCTGTTTACCCTGCCTCCTCCACTCCCTGTTCAACCTCCTGAGTAACACTTAAGGGTCCGAGTGCAAAATCCATCCCTGCCTTCTTTCCTTAGAGGCTGCTCAGAGCCTGGAGGCTTTGAACCTCTTCTGAGAAGTGGAGGACAGAACTGAGACCCTGACCACTTCTCAGGAAGCTTAACTTGTTCAAGCCAAAGGCAGCCAAAAGCAGGACCTCTTTCCTGGAACTGAGATTGTAGACTGCTACAGGGGCCTAGAGAAGGCATGGTGGAAGATT